CCTCTTTCAAAGTATCTCTTTTGCATCTCCGTCTATCTAACTTGGTTTAGCGACATGGTTTTTCTGTAGGCTGTATGCGTTCGATGTTCACTGCAACTCATTCTTCCCAATGTTTGTTCTGCTCTATGGTAATTCTATCGTGTAAAGCATAAGCTGCATGTAACCAGAACTACTACAGAAGGAATTTATTTATAACTTGTGGCTTTTCATTGCAGTCGTGCACTATTTCTTGTCACCCCTTCTGATAACACATGGGTTCATCTCCGTATTGCTGTCGAATCTGCTTTTCATGGTCGGGGCTTCTTATTACCATTACCTGAACTTTTTAGGATATGACGGTAAGGCCATATATGTATATTTGTCTTTCCCTCATTTCTTCTTCCAAAATGTTATTTCGGCATACCAGGCAACTAGGCTGAACTTCTTTGCAATTTCTTTGAACTAACATCGCATGTCATTCATACAGTGCTTCCCTTTCTGGAGAGAACAACGTTCTTCCTCTACCCAATCGGGATAGTAATCGTCCTCTCGCCTATTCGTAAGTTTTTTGATCCTCCGCAAGTATTATGGTTCCAGCGTTTCCTTGAAACAAGAAATGCCATTCTTCATTCCCTGTTTCCCTGTTGCAGTGATCTTAAGCAGCTTCAATCCTTCAAGATATTTTATGAACATCTACTTCAGCCAGATTTTGTAATGAGTTGCTGAGCTTAACAATGGTACAATACCCCCCGATATGCCATACTATCAGAGTAACAGTGATCCCATGGGCTCTGCACATAAGGCCGAAGGAATACAGCGGGTAAGATTTTTCTGAAGATTTTTCTGAATCAAAGCAGATCGTGTTACGGGATGGCATATGGGTATGGTGGTACTACAAAGATCAAAACTAGAACAGAGTAGTGAACGTGAAAATTTGTTTTTTGTGGTGTCTGACACAATACTTGATCAGTGATTGTGGAGTGACACAATACTTGGTCTCATATTTTGCCAATCTTCTCTGTTGTATTGTTTTCATGTGGTGTGGGTTTAAATCATTTCATTCATGTTTCTATAATCAATTTTTCTTTGATACATGTAGTTTTTATCTCAATAATTGCTTGAATCTTGTACCTGCTCGATTGCACATGTGATGTATTCCCACGTCACAATGTTTACTGTGAAGTCCCTCAACGTTGGGATCTGAAAATATTGCAGGACATGATAATTTGCTTCTCATCTACTTTTAGCTGATTTCTTTTATTAGGCAAAACTGCTAGGCATGATGTGCAACTGCAATAATGTCTCTATCCTTTTAGAGTTCATGGTTTTATAAAGTAGAAGAAATATTCGTAAAAAGAAATTAAAAACAAATATAGAATAATATGGTTCCCTTTTATTATCAAGTGCGGTGTGTACGGCTGTGCATGCGTGTGTTGAGAAGAAATGAGCACGCTACACAAAGCAAGCATGTCTTAAAGAATTTGTTGTTAGTGCGTGATTGTCCTCTGACAATTTACTTTAGGGAAAATCCCATATTTGTTACAATATCCTGCACCGGAATTCCATTAACCAAAACACAAATCATTTAAAGTCACATAAATCCAAATTCAGACCGAAATCCCAAAACTCCATGTAAAATCCGTTTACACGTAATATGGGTAACATATAAAAATATTTAAACCAAAAAATAAGATTTTGAAATCTCAATTTTATATATAAAGTTTTAGTCAACACTCAACAGACATTCTAGACAAGAAAAACACTTGCATAAAACTTTCGACTTGTCGCAATTTCTTGAAGGCAAACCACCATCACTTTGTATATAGAATTAAGAGTGAAGCTTGCTTCCGGCAACATCGACGACGAATCTGTACCGTACATCGTTCTTCTCGAGCCTCTCGAACGCAGTGTTTATATAATCCATCTTCACAACTTCGATCATCGAAGTCAAACCCTTCTCTCTGCAGAACTCCAGCATCTCCTCTGTTTCCTTCATGCTCCCTATGAAGCTTCCCGTTATCGTCTTCCTCCCTACAAACCCCCATCGTTAAATCCACAGTTAACGTGTGATTAATCTGGTTTAGTCATCGCTAATCAAAGATTAATTAAAAAGGCGCCGCCACTAACCGAGCATGACCATGGGAGTGAGAAACTGTAGAGGAGTGCTGATCACGCCCATCAGGATGAGCTTCCCGTCAAGCCTCAGCAGCGACAGGTACGGCTCGAGGGCGTGATGAGCTGGCACCGTGTCGATGATATAATCCAACGAATCGGCCAGCTCGCTCATCTTCGAGGTGTCCGATCCGAAGAAACCAGAGTTTCCATCGGAAGATCGAAAAGGTGAGCTGCCACTAGGGTTCTTAGAAGAAACCAAAGATCAAGGAATAGTAGTGTCATGGAGTCCACAAACAAAGGTTTTAGCCCATCCATCCACAAGAGCTGATGACGGTGACATGGTGACCCATTGCTTTGGCTATCTTCACGCCCATGTGGCCGACGCCTCCTAACCCTAGGATCCCTCCCCTTAGGCCGGACCCTTTCAATCCGAAATGGCGAAGCGGGCTATAGACCGTCACGCCTGCGCATAGCAGCGGGGCCGCCTGCTCGGGCGCCATTCCCTCCGGGATCTTCACCACAAACCTGAAACAGTTACAGAAATCTTTGCGGCTGTTGCTTGGTTTTATGTAATGAAAAGAGTGTGGATGGGAGGGGCAAAGACGTACTTTTGGTGGACGACGGTGGAGGAGGCGAAGCCGCCATGGGTGGGGCGGCCGTCGGAGTAGAGGTCGTTGTAGCTCCAAATCTTCTTGGGACAGTACTGTTCCATGTCCTTATTGCAGGGACCGCAGCTCCCGCAGCATCCCACCAGACAGCCAACTCCCACCATGTCACCTACCCTGAACCTGTCCACACCTGATCCCACCTCCTCCACCTCCCCCACCACCTCATGCCTTCAAGTTCAATTCAACCCACCAATACAAAAAATGTAATAAATAAATAACAAAATTATATGAATAAAAAGATGGCTTCTCGCCGATTGAAAACAATCCAATGTTAATTCTATCATCAAAGTGGAAAATTTGTGTGCGCGTTTATGTATATGTACCTAACCACATATACACATAGATGCACACACATATATGTATGTATACACTCACGCACATATATGGATCTTGGATTAAAAATGGGAAGAAGAAAAGAAAGGAGAACATACCCAGGAACCATGGGGTAGTTAGACATGCCAAGATCATTCTTGATTTGATGAATATCAGTGTGGCATATTCCACAGCACATGATTCTTATGTACACATCCTCAGGCCCCATCTCCCTGCATACGCACATACATATATATAGATTAGATGATGATAAATCAGAGCAAAATTACAAAGAAATGTATACCTAAGAGTGTATGAGTAAGGGGAGAGAAACCCAGATGGATCCCTTGCAGCCCATCCTGTTGTTTTCCTCTCTCCTTCAACCCTTCCCATTCTCTCTCTCTTTCTCTCTCTAGAAGTTTTGTTTTGATCCTTGAGGAAGCACTATGTATTTATATAAGCATACCCCTTGGCCCTTGTTTAAACAATCAACGATTTTTTTTTATAAAAAAAAGAAGTTAATTTTTTTTGTGCATTAGTTTGAAAACATATTATCATTTTCTTGGTTAGCTTAGTTTATACATTTTCTTGCAACAAACGCAAATAAATTTCATCAGTCAAAAAGCTTGATTTGTATTAACCTCCTAATGAAAAGGACTTATAGAAAAAAGGTCAAATTAACACATTTTAATTCTAACTCGGCATATTAATAACTTTTGATAAAGAAAACCATCCTCAAATTCTTTATTTTTAGTTAATAAAACCATCCACTAATGAATTGTTTTTTCGCTAATCTAAAAAAATGGGAGCCATGTCATGCCGTACACGTGGCATGGTGGGGTCGGAGAGGGGTTGGTGAACGAACTTTTGGGTTGTGGGTTCCGACCCAATCTGGCGTTTTCTTTACACGTTTTTTTAGATGCGCCACGTGTAAATTTTAATCTTTATTGGCTAACGGCAGAAAAAATATGATAAATTATCAAATTAATATAATTGCACTTCGTAAAATTGTAATTTAATTGTTAAATTATGTGTAACTTGGCCTGAAAACCTGTCCTGCATGAGAGTCTCTGCCTCGTCTCGAAGGTTCGTTCGATAGTGGAGGCGGTTTACTTCATTATGTATTTAATAGATTCTACCATTATTTTTGTTTATTTAGATATCACAAAATTATATAATAAGCAGGAATTTAGCTTTCAATAGAATGTTTACGACCTTACAATACAAAATGATTGATGCACCAATAAATAACCATCAATGACGACTTTTGGTATATTTATTGTTTACGTAAACATTACCCTATTTGTAATTATGTGTAATTATGTGTAATTTTGGTAAATAATCTAATTATTATCATTTAAAATTAAATACCCTATTTGTTTTTTTAGTTTTTATTTGCACCTGAAATGACCATTTTGATTAGAAACGGATTAACCGCACAATTAATCAATTTAAGAAACGAATTAATCAGCGATTAACCGAAAGACATAATGTTTTGCCTATTGATTGTTGTAACAGTATACAATTTATAATATCTATTTTTTAAAAAAATATAGTAACAATATATAATATTAATTCGAGACGATTTAAATATTTCGCGACAAAAAAAAAAAGAAGATAACCCCCCTCGACGCTGATGAAGTGATTTAAATATTTACAAAATATTTGTGATTTATAATATTTTATTCAATGTCGACATTATAAAAGGAATCTAGTGTCTGCTTTGACATCGTTACGCCAAAAAAATTGTTTTTTTTTTTCAAAAGCCGATTTGACGGCAGACCCAAGGCGGCCATCCTTTCTTCTAGAACATGCATTAATTTATTTTTATTTGACGTTTTAGTTTTAAATAGAAAAAAAAATATTTTTTATCTAAAATAACCCTTTTTAATTATCACTGTCAATTTTTTCTTTCATACAATATTGTAACTATCTATTATTAAAAAGGTAATTTTGGAAAAAGTATAAAAAAGTACATAGAAAATATCAAAACATCATTTATTTTAAAACAAAAAATTAACTCTAAAATTAAAGTGAGGGAGTAATAAACAAATATAAGCTCTGTATATTTTTCTAATTTCCTCCTTACCCCACGTTAATAAAACCAAAAAAAAAACAATAGATATTTATAATAGCAACCATAAAATTTAAGAACAATCATTCTCAATTAAAATATCACATCAAATATTTTTTTACATTTAATTCATTTTTTTTGTTTTATAAAATAGCACAGATATCCAACCAATTCGCCTCGTGGATTATTCCAAAATCGGTAATAAATGCGGGATCGGGTTTTGCGGCGAAATACTCGTCAGCACAGATCACATCTGAACAAATTACATAATTACCCTTATATTTGGTGAAAATAATAAAACTAACACTCTGCACATGAACTAGGATGTTAAGCTTTACCGACATACCGGCCCTTTTAGATCTCTCTCGTCCTTGACTCCCATCGTGACATCACCCTCACCGGCTTATCTATAAATATTCGAATATTTGGAATATATTCGAAATTTGAAAATTCTATCGATAGATTAAAATTTTAATTCTAAATACTAAAATCTAATTCACTCGGGTTTGAAAATTGCATGCCCTCTAGATCGGGGTGTCAATCGGGGCGGCTCGGTCCGACTCGGTCCAAATCCGCAGTCGGTCCGAAGATTTCGGGTTTGAACTCGGATCGCTCTGATTTTTTTCGGGTCTATATAACTAAATTTGAAGCCCGTCTCTATATATTCCGGATTCCGATCGAATCGGACTAATTCACATAATTTTCTTTGTAAATATCATTTTTTTTCTTTCTTTTTTAATTTTTTTTAGAATCTCAGATTTTCGGAACGAACCAAAATTCGATTCGAAGAAAACATATTTTTTTAGACCGAAAAACTTAGACATGAAGCCTGCTAACTTTTGGGCTGGGCCGAGCTGGACTTCGGGCTTCGGTCCTGAATTGACACCCAACTCGAGATCTCGGATACTCCCAAAACTCTGTATCAAGCACAAATTAGTCATTTACCAAAATAACGTTGTAGTTTGTAGTGTTGAATTTTCCATTAGCGTGGAAACGAAGAAGCTAGCGTGGGAACGTAGAAGAATAAGACGTGGAAATTTACCAAAAAAAAAAAGGAATAAGACGTGAAAGATGCGCCAATCACATAATGCCGTTTTTCGGTGGTCAGAAATGTCTTGAAAAGCCACGCTGGACTTTTTTTTTTTGCTTCTAACAGATTTCCAAAATCTTCCACATAAATCCACTGTTGTTTTTTTACAGTTTCCAAGTTATTAACTCTATAACAAATCCATATATATATATATATATATATATATATATATATATATTAGTGAAATGCTGATTTTACTCTCTTTTTTCTACCTAACTTTACCGTTTACGAATTAATTTTAGTTTTTTTAAGGGATTGAACTGAATTTGGGTAATGGGCCGGAATGGGTTGGCCCATATTAATCAATAAATCCAAATAGGGATTTCTAATCCATTAAAAGAAAAAGACATCCACTTACAGGAAACATACGTCATCGCTGACGAAATCTTCTTCCCTTCCATATTTTTTTCACCAAACACTTCACGAGCACGCCCATATAGATCTCGCCCTGCCTTTTTTCTTCTTCTTCTTGAATAATCAACAACAAATATTATATATAATCAAGATTCTGATTTTAGATTCACATACGTACCTCCAGAACACAAATCATGGCTTTGAACTCCAAGACAAGTGATGTTCAGATTCATGTCCTAATGGTGGCTTTTGCAGCGCAAGGACACATCAACCCTTTGCTAAGATTCGCCAGAAGGTTACTTCCAAAGGGCATCCACGTGGCGTTGGCCACAACCGAGACAGCCAAACGCCGCATGCTCGCGTCGGAAACCGCAATCGCAAACGCCGATAACACCGCTGTTATTGCTGGTTTCGATGTTTTCTTCTTCTCCGATGGATTTGGCTCAGACTTCGACAGGAAGGCCAATATGGATCATTACGTGGAGAATTTCGGGTCGTTTGCATCGGTTAGTCTCTCTAATATCATCGAAGAACACTACCTTAGCAAGAACAAGAAGCTTTCTTGCATCGTCAGCAACCCTTTTGTTTCTTTTGCTGTCGATGTTGCTGACAAGTACGATATCCCCAGTGCCTTGCTCTGGATCCAACCTTGTGCTCTCTTCTCGACTTATTACCATTACTTCAACGATCTCAACGAGTTTCCCGCTGATTCTGACGTGGTGATACCGGGTTTGCCACGGCTGAGAAGACAGGACTTGCCTTCGTTTGTGGTCAACTCGTCTGGAGGATTGTCCAAGTTGTTCCGCTGCGTGTTTCAGAACATGAAGAAATACAAATGGGTATTCGCCAATTCCTTCGTGGAGCTCGAGAAGGAAGCCATTGATGCTATGAACAACGTCTTCCCGGTTCAACCCGTCGGTCCATTGATCTCTCCTTCACTGCGGAACCAGGAACAAACAACCCTAGATTCCCAAATCGAGATGTGGAAGCCTGACGAGACGTGCTTAGAGTGGTTAGACAAGCAAGAACCATCATCTGTTATCTACGTTTCTTTCGGAAGCATTCTCGAACTTTCGGCCAAACAAATGGAGGAGATAGCAACAGCCCTAAAGAACTTGAAGGCTCCATTCATTTGGGTCGTGAAGAAACCAGAGTTTCCATCGGAAGATCGAAAAGGTGAGCTGCCACTAGGGTTCTTAGAAGAAACCAAAGATCAAGGAATAGTAGTGTCATGGAGTCCACAAACAAAGGTTTTAGCCCATCCATCCACCGGATGCTTTGTAACACACTGCGGATGGAATTCATTGCTCGAGACAATAGCGGCCGGAGTTCCGGTCGTGGCATATCCTCAATGGACGGATCAACCGACGAATGCGAAGATGATCGAAGAAGTTTTCAAGATGGGAGTTAGGGTTAATCCAAGAGAAGATGGGTTACTTGGGCATGAAGAGTTAGAGAGATGTATTGGAGATGTCATGTTTGGTCCGAAATCGGAGTTGCTGAAGAGAAGGTGTTTGGAGCTGAAGTTAGCGACGAAGACGGCTGTTTCGGACGGTGGATCGTCGGACAATAACATCCAGATGTTTGTGGATGAGATTATTGCTGGTTCATAATAATGGTTATTCTCCCGAATAAGGTTTCATGCATACAGACATATAAATAAAGTCATTTCTATGTTTGCAAGTTTCTACTTTTTTCCCCTTCACCTGGTCCCAAGAGTCTATGTCCGTTTCCAGACAGAAGACAGAAGTGAAGCTTTCTAACAACGTAAAATATCAGAAACGTTAGCCACGGATAACGGATTCCTTTTATAACATGAACAAAGCAGAAGTTGCTTTAACGGCTACTGGACTTTCCCCGTGACCTGAAAAAGCGAATCATGTGTTTATAGACATCTTCTCGCGCTCTTGCGCTCAGAAGAAAGTCTATATGGCCATAGTTTCCGAGGTAGAGTAACTCCGGTTTTGAAGGTAGTTCCTTTAGTGTATGTTCCACATCCATCACGTCTCCTAAACCGTCATTTCCACCATAGCCCATCCACAATGGTAAAGATGCCGGTATGAGGCCGAGGTCGAAAGATGGAGGTTTCGTCTTACCATACACCACCAGATTTTTCAGGAATCCATAATCATATTGTGCAAAGGTACCTTTCCGGATCACTGGAAAATTAAAAAAAAAAAAAATCAAAGCATAGTTATAGAGTTGCTCTGATCAAATATTATTTTAAATTCGTGTGTAAAAAAGAGAACATTGATCAGAACTGAATTCAAATAGATAGTAATTGTCATGAAACCCAACCAAAGCAAAGAACTAGGGTATTGGAGAATAAGAATCAAGGACAAACGGGGCAAATGTCATACTTTGGAAAAGATGGCGCAAATTCTTGACAGATGATGGGTGAGGCTCGTATTCTAGATAAAAGTCTATCCGCGAATCATTGAAGCAACAATTCTTCCCTGCAAAATCCAAATACGCCGGTTAATATGATAAAAACACAAGGACCGTGACATGCCTCAGGAACTCAGGAAGGGACAAAAACATCATCTCCATAAAAATACAAATATATAAAACAGAACGCCGTGTCAAAACATCACCACAGGAGGATGAAAGAAAGAGATGCAAACCGGTTATGGATGTCAAGAAATCAGTGCAATCCATATGCCCATCGCATAGTGAGTCTACAAGTTCAATTAACATATCACTGAAAATATGAAACATACAAAAAGAGACGTTATTAAAGCAAAGGAAGCTCAGCATCAGAACACAGAGAAAATAGCTGAGAAAGAACTCACAACCTTCTAAAGTTCAACTGGTGAAGCCCAAGAGCAAGGACCATCTGTAGAGAAGACCATGTATAATTAAATTCCAAGATTCGATTTTAAGAGATTCCAGAACAATGAGAGTACCTGATCGAGATGCATTTGAACCATTCTTTCTACAAGTGGAGCTGTGACATGATCCAAATATGATATTGGACAAAGCAGGGCAGCTGCTTCAACCATTTCTGCAATATGCGGCTGAGTTAGAGCAGCGAAAGACATGATCGTTCCCTATCAAAAACAAAGAAAAAAAGCTTATTACAGAACAAGATAGAGAACAGCATTATATGACTTCAGGAGGGAAAGGACCTGCGAATGTCCAACAAGGAAAATTTTGGAGTTGGTTATGGATTGGATGTATTGCATCATTGCTGCAAGGTCAAAGAGAGCCAAATCCTGCCAACTCCAGTCCCAAAAGTCCTGCAAATATGTCCACAGTTTTTTATGAGAAGAATAACGAAATGACCTCTCTTTCCC